GTGAGGCTGACTGGCCTGTAGTTCCCAGGATCATCCTCCTTCCCTTTTTTAAAGATGGGCACTACATTAGCCTTTTTCCAGTCGTCCGGGACTTTCCCGTATCGCCATGAGTTTTCAAAGATAATGGCCAATGGCTCTGCAATCACAGCCACCAACTGCTTTAGCACTCTCGGATGCAACTCGTCCGGCCCCATGGACTTGTGCATGTCCAGCTTTTCTAAATAGTCCCGAACCACTTCTTTCTCCACAGAGGGCTGGTCACCTCCTCCTTATGCTGTGCTGCCCAGTGCAGCAGTCTGGGAGCTGACCTTGTTCGTGAAGACAGAGGCAAAAAAAGCATTGAGTACATTAGCTTTTTCCACATCCTCTGTCACTAGGTTGCCTCCCTCATTCAGTAAGGGGCCCACACTTTCCTTGGCTTTCTTCTTGTTGCCAACATACCTGAAGAAACCCTTCTTGTTACTCTTAACATCTCTTGCTAGCTGCAACTCCAGGTGTGATTTGGCCTTTCTGATTTCACTCCTGCATGCCCGAGCAATATTTTTATACTCATCCCTGGTCATTTGTCCAATCTTCCACTTCTTGTAAGCTTCTTTTTTGTATTTAAGAGCTGCAAGGATTTCACTGTTAAGCCAAGCTGGTCGCCTGCCATATTTACTATTCTTTCTACACATCGGGATAGTTTGTCCCTGTAACCTCAATAAGGATTCTTTAAAATACAGCCAGCTCTCCTGGACTCCTTTCCCCCTCATGGATGGAGGGGGCTGGGCTGGGACAGGGAGCAGCCTGGGCCCATGGGGACGGGGACAGACCCAGCTGGATGGGGTGAGACTGGCCAGGCCGAGGGCCCTGAGAACGGCCCAGGCTGGGTCCAGATGCTCCATAAGCTTCCGGTGTGAGGCTGGCCGAGAGTCGCTCCCTCTGGCGTGGGGAGACCGGGCGGGGGGGGCGGGGGCTGCGTGGGGGCACAGCTGGGTCCCTCCTGTCCCAGGCTGCAGGGAGAGGAGGGAGCGGAGCGGGGATTTGGGTCCCTCACTCCCCAGGCACATCTCTTTGGGGGCAGGGATCGGCCCCCCCTTCCTGCCCCGGGCCCCGCCCAGGAGAGCTCCCCCTGCTCACTCTGATAGGAGATGGCATCCTGCAGGAAGCTGCAGGCGGGGTTGCTGGCCTGGCACCGCACCCAGAACCCCACGATGGCCCCGTCCACCTGCCGGGCCAGGACGGACGAGAGCGCCGAGAAGCTGTGCAGGACGGTCACTGCCCGGCTGTGTGGCCTGGGGGGGACCCACGTCTCCGGTCAGTGCCCAGGGCAGGCAGCGCCCCGGGCGAGCAGGACTCCCCAGGCACAACCGCCTGCAAACCCAGCGCCCCGTTCCCACCATCCCCGACAGCCCTTCCCAGCTTACCCGTACCCCGCTCTGGCAAGGTCCAGTCCCCTTCCGACCAGCCCCGGCACTCACTGCAGGTCCAGGATGGACAAGGACAGATAGGCGTCCAGTTGCCCCAGGATAGGCTGGAACTGGGGGCAGACAGAGCGCTGGGTGAGGGGCTGGTGTGAGGAGTCCCCCGGCCCTGCCCGGGCAGCTGAGAAGAGAAACCAGAGCCAGGGGGCTGCACAGAGCACGGCCCCGTAGGGCAGAGAGGGGGCTCCTGGGCCAGGCCTGCCTTGGACCCCCCTCCCTATGCACATGCCTGGGGCCTGGCAGAGGAGCCCAGAGCCAGGGCCCAGGTTGGGGGCAGGGAGCCCTCAGGGTAGGGTTGCCAACTTTCTACTGGCACAAAACCGAACACCCTGCCCCTGCCCCTTCCCCCTCCCTCTGTTGCTCCCTCTCCCCACCAGGCTGGCTGAGGGCTCCGGCTGGGGCTGCAGGCTCTGGGGTGGGGCCAGGGATGAGTTCAGGGTGCAGGAGGGGGCTCCGGGCTGAGGCAGTGCGTTGGGATGCAGATGGGTAGGGCTGAAGGGAGGGGGTGCCAGCTGCTCCCCAAGGAGTTACCCTTCCCACCGCAGCTCATCTACCATGGGGTGAGCAGGGCCCATCCCCCACCCTCAGGTCATCAGCAGGGCCCCACTCTCAGCACCCACTGCCCACCAGCGGGTGTCAGCCGGGCCCCCCACCCATACCAGGCTCTCCAGCTGGGCAACGATCCTGAGCAGGTCTGCAAGTGGCAGGGGGCCTGGGGGGCCCGGGCCGGGGGCCCGCAGGGAGAGGCACCCTGGGAACATCCTGGCTTCAAACATGCAGGAGGCAGGGGAAAGACGGGCCAAGGGGTCTCAGAGCTGGTAGGGCCAGGGGCTGCCCACAGGGGACTCCCAGCCAGACTCCATCCCTGCCCTGAACGGAGCCCAGGTGCAAGGACTCCTCCCTTCCCCCACATACTATACGCTCCCCCTCTCCTCCAGCCCAGCCACCCCCACCCCAGAGAACCTGCCCCCCCACTGCCCCAGCCCATGCTGCACCCTCAGCACCAGCCCGAGGGGGTGTCATGGAGTCCCCGGGGGATGCTCCGGAACGGCTCCCTACGAAGCCAGGCAGGACTCTGGGTCAGTCTCCTTTCTGGGAGCAGGCTGTCTGCAGGACACACAGCTCACACGGCTTCCACCTTCCTGGGTCTGACCTCAGAGCATTCAGCATCCTCTGCCCCTCCCTGCGCTTCCCACAGCGAGTCCGCCCAGGCGGGGTCCTGGGGAAGCCAGAGGGTCCTGCCCCCCAACTCCGCAGTCAGACGGGACTCTCAGCCAGCCAGTAAAACAGAGGTTTATTAGACAGGAACATGGTCTAAAACAGAGGTTACAGCTGCAGAGAACAGGACCCCTCAGCTGGGTCCATTTTGGGGGGCCATGAGCCAGACAACCCTGTCTGCCCTTCACTCCATGTCCCAGCCAACCCCAAACTGAAACTCCCTCCAGCCCCTCCTCCTCTGGGCTTTGTCCCTTTCCCGGGCAAAGAGGGCACCTGATTCCTTTGTTCTCCAACCCTTTAGCTCTCACCTTGCAGGGGGGAAGGGCCCAGGCCATCAGTTGCCAGGAAACAGGGTGTCGGCCATTCTCTGTGTCCAGACCCCTGCACACACCTGCCCTCTAGGGCTCTGCAATGATCATACACCCTTACTCCCACCACCTAGATACTTAAGAACTGCATAGGGGAAACTGAGGCACCCCCACACTATTCAGAGGAAACATTAAGAACAGTCCCGCTTCGTCACATCTCTCCCCCCTTCAAGATCGAACTGAGCGGGGTCACTTTAGCCGGTGACCTGGGGAAGTTCAAAGCCACCAACGTTCCCATGGATGCCCCAGCATCTCTCCCATTCCTTGGTAGGAGTTACACCAGGCCCTTCCAGTTTCACGCCCTCCCTTAGGTCAGGGGTGGTCGATAGCACTCGCAGGCCGCATGTGGGAAGGTTTATGCAGCCCATGCCCTTTGGCCACCCCAAGAATGTCTCCCCATTGACCATCACCTTCTGCTCCCACTGGAGGTCCGAGGGGCCTGGCCCCAGGAAACTCCACACAGACATATAGGTTGGGGTCAGGAGTGGGAGCCTGTCCACATCCCCAACCATCTGGCTGATGGAGTCTATGGCCTTGGGACCCAGCAAGGGAGCTAGACACCAGGGCTTTTCCGCAGGGTCCCCTTGGTTCAAATCGCCAGCCTGCTCAAAGGCAGTGAGGTGGCATCCACACCCCCCCCTCCTTAACCAGGGGCAGCAATTTAGTCTCGAGGTTCCCTGCGGAACTGGCCCCCCGGGATCTATCCCCACTCACCCCGGGGAGGTCCCCTAGGCCTCTCCGCTCCCCCACCGCCAGTTCATCCTGCTGCTGCTTCTGCAGCTCTTTCTCGGGCTCTCGCTGTCTCCCACGGTCCTCTTGCTCTCTCAGACTCAGCTCCAATCCCGTCCGTCTCGATCCCCCGATGGGGAACCCGATCGTGAAGACCCCCGTCTGGTCGGGGACAGGAGTCTTGGCGATGCCTGGCTCCCGCTTCAGCTGCTCCCAGATCCTGCTATAGCCCCAGTTGGGGTCAGGAATCTGTTCCTTAGAGCGGTCATCCTCCTCCAGCTGCACGATTAACTCTGCTTTGGTGAACTTTCCAACGCTCAACCCTCTCTTTCTGCACAGGGTTACAATGTCCTTCTTAAGGAGATGGTGACAGGCCATCACTCCGCTCCTCCCAAGTTGTTGTGGACTCACAGGCCTGTGTGTTCTCAGCTCCCCACGGTTTCCAGGGAGAACCCCTAGTGTGCCAGCCCTTCTCGAGGTCACCACCTCTTTGCCAGGGTCGAGCAGCAGACTCCTCCGCCCCTTGGACTGCTCGCTGCAATCCCCAGGGGAACCCTGTTACTGCACAGTCCTTCTCGCTGGTCACACACTCCCAGGGGTTAACCGCCCCCCGAAACCGCTCCTCTCTGAGCCTTCAGCAGGCCTGGTCCTCGGCAATCCCCCTTCGTGTTACTGCTCCCCAGTCACTTACTGCAGGAAGCACCATCCACGGGGTGCAGTACATCCCACCGCTACCACCAGTTGTCACGGAGTCCCTGGGCAATGCTCTGGAACTGCTCCCCATGAAGCCAGTCAGGACTCTGGGGCAGTCGCCTTTCTGTGAGCAGCCTGTCTTCAGGACACGCAGCTCACACAGCTTCCACCTTCCTGGGTCTGACCTCGGAGCATTCAGCATCCTCTGCCCCTCCGTGCGCTTCCCACAGCGAGTCCGCTCAGGCGGGGCTCCTGGGGAAGCCAGAGGGTCCTGCACCCCAACTTCGCAGTCAGACGTGACTCTCAGCCAGCCAGTAAAACAGAAGGTTTATTAGATGACAGGAACATGGTCTAAAACAGAGCTTGCAGGTGCAGAGAACGGGACCCCTCAGCTGGGTCCATTTTGGGGGGCAGTGAGCCAGACAACCACATCTGCACTTCACTCCATGTCCCAGCCAGCCCCAAACTGAAAACTCCCTCCAGCCCCTCCTCCTCTGGGCTTTGTCCCTTTCCCGGGCCAGGTGGTCACCTGATTCCTTTGTTCTCCAACCCTTCAGCTCTCACCTTGCAGGGGGGGAAGGGCCCAGGCCATCAGTTGCCAGGAAACAGGGTGTCGGCCATTCTCTGTGTCCAGACCCCTTCACACACCTGCCCTCTAGGGCTCTGCAATGATCATACACCCTTACTCCACCCCCTAGATACTTAAGAACTGCCTAGGGGAAACTGAGGCACCCCCACACTATTCAGAGGAAACATTAAGAACAGTCCCACTTCGTCACACTCCCTTACATCCAGAATCACCTCTGGCCCATCAGGCGGATTCCTACACAATCCCCTTTCAGGCAAACTCACAGACTACCTAGATAAAAGGTCGGAAGCATTCTCCTTCCCTTTGCCACACACAAGTTCAGGAATCTTTTCCTTCTTGCTACAGGTTTCCACACCCTCAATAGGTAACACAATCACATCACCTTCATGCTCTCCTTGTGCCCTGGCTAGGATCTCACCCTGATTAGACAGAGTTGCGACACCCTTTCCCAGCCACACACTAGCAACAGGCAAAATACAAGCACCAGAATTGTCTGGGCTCTGGGATTTTACATAGACACTAACTGGATGCGACCTAGTTACAGGGCCATTCTCCGGAGCAGACACAAACTTAGGACCCTTCCCTTCCTGGGCTTTAGCTGAATCCAGAACCAGCTCTGAGACAACTGCACGACCCTCAACCATCCCTGGCTGAAAGGCCCCTTCTGTCTGCTCCACAGACAAAGAAGAGCCGGACACACTTTCTCCTTTACCAGACACACAGCTTGGGATCTCTTTCCCCTTGTCCCAGCACACAGGGCTGGTCACAGACAACTGCTTGGAGATCAGGGTAGCTCCCTCCATAGGCAAGTCAATGACAGACACAGGCACGTTTCCTTCACTGTCACACTTCTCCACCCAGCTAACAGGTAAGGCCCAGGGACACTCATCTTCCACTCTCCTCGCCTTCCCACACTGCTGACTAGACAAGGCCATCGGATCACAAGGCTGCCTAGGCTCATCCAGACTTTCCTTACCCAGCACCTTGCCGCTCCCCACAGATCCCCTGCCCTGCCTGTGTCTCCCCCCCTCAGCTGGGGTCTCAGCTCCCACTGTGCTCAGCGCTGCCCTTGCTGTCCCAGTGGGGGTAGGCAGCGAGCTCACTGCTTTCCTCAGTGCATCAGAGCCAGCCTGAGAGCCCGCTCCGGTGTGCAAGGGGGCAGGGAGCGTCTCTCTGTCCCACCCAGCCCCAGGGATCTGGTTACAGGCTGGCAGGTAGCCTGAGCCTAGCCGCTCCTCCCCCCTGCCAGCCTGGTCATCTGCATTTTCACTGACCATTTCCCTCTCCACCGATTGGTTCCCTGGATTCAAATTCAAACCCTTGGCAGTTACAGGAGCAGGGCCTGGATCCTGTCTCAAAGAGACACAGTCACCCCACAACAGGGTCTCGCAGCTGGTGTCCTGGAGAACCACAACGACCAGCCAGCCCGACCCCTCCTGGGTCTGCACAGGGATCTGGGCCATAGGCAGGGCGAGGGGCTTCGTCCCTGGGACCCTCACCCAGCTCACACAGCCCCTCAGCATCTGAGGCTGCACCACCCGGGGCCTGACACCAGTTCTCTCTGTCCCAGGATCTCGCCACCCCAGGAATGTCTCCCCATTGACCATCACCTTCTGCTCCCACTGGAGGTCCGAGGGGCCCGACCCCAGGAGACTCCACACAGACATAGGTTGGGGTCAGGAGTGGGAGCCTGTCCACCTCCCCACACATCTGGCTGACAGGAGTATATGGCCTTGGGACCCAGCACTGGGGCTTTTCTGCAGGGTCCCCCTGGTTCAGATCTCCAGCCTGCTCAAAGGCAGTGAAGTGGGCATCCACATCCCCCCCGTCCTTAACCAGGGGCAGCAATTTAGTCTTGAGGTTCCCTGCAGAACTGGCCCCCCGAGGTATATCCCCACTCACCCTGGGGAGGTCCCCTAGGCCTCTCCGCTCCACCATCGCCAGTTCATGCAGCTGCTGCTTCTGCAGCTCTTTCTTGGGCTCTTGCTGTCTCTCACAGTCCTCTTGCTCTCTTGCACTCAGCTCCAATCCCCTCGGTCTCCGACCCCCGGATGGGGAACCCAATCGTGAAGACCCTCGTCTGGTCGGGGATAGGAGTCTTGGCGATGCCTGGCTACTACTCCAGCTGCTCCCAGATCCTGCTATAGCCCCATTTGGGGTCAGGAATCTGTTCCTTAGAGCGGTCATCCTCCTCCAGCTGAGCGATTAACTCTGCTTTGGTGAACTTTCCAACACGCAACCCTCTCTTTTTGCACAGGGTTACAATGGCCTGTCACTGTCTCCTTAAGAAGGACATCACTCTGCTCTTCCCAAGCTGTTGTGGACTCACAGGCCTGTGTGCTCTCAGCTCCCCACGGTTTCCAGGGAGAACCCCTAGTGTGCCAGCCCTTCTCGAGGTCACCCCCTCTTTGCCAGGGTCGAGCTGCAGACTCCTCCGCCCCTGGGACCGCTCGCTGCAATCCCCAGGGTAACCCTGTTACTGCAAAAGTCCTTCTTTCTCCCAGGGCCAAGCTGCAGGCTCCTCTGCCCCTGAGACTGCTCACCGCAGTCCCCAGGGGGACCCCATTACTGCACAGTCCTTCTCGCTGGTCACACACTCCCAGGGGTTAACCGCCCCCCAAAACCGCTCCTCGCTGAGCCTTCAGCATGCCTGGTCCTCGTCAATCCCCTTCGTTTTACTGCTCCCCAGTCACTTACTGCAGGAAGCGCCGTCCATGGGGTGCAGTACATCCCACCTCTGCCACCAGTTGTCACGGAGTCCCTGGGCGATTCTCTGGAACTGCTCCCTATGAAGCCAGGCAGGACTCTGGGGCAGTCTCCTTTCTGGGAGCAGCCTGTCTTCAGGACACACAGCTCACATGGCTCCACCTTCCTGGGTCTGACCTCGGAGTATTCAGCATCCTCTGCCCCTCCGTGCGCTTCCCACAGCGAGTCCGCCCAGGCGGGGTCCTGGGAAAGCCAGAGGGTCCTGCCCCCCAACTCTGCAGTCACCGCGGACCTTGGTTGATTGAATCTGTCTGGCAAGAAATCACTTACCAACAGTCGTGGGTGTGAAATCTTGACTTCTATTGTTGTGTCTTTATGGTCCCCACTTCTCCATGGTTTATCTGAGACGGGACTCTCAGCCAGCCAGTAAAACAGAAGGTTTATTAGACGACGGAACATGGTCTAAAACAGAGCTTGTAGGTGCAGAAAACAGGACCCAAACTGAAACTCCCTCCACCCCTCCTCCTCTGGGCTTTGTCCCTTTCCGGGGCCAGGAGGTCACCTGATTCCTTTGTTCTCCAACCCTTTAGCTCTCACCTTGTAGGGGGGAAGGGCCCAGGCCATCAGTGGCCAGGAAACAGGGTGTCCGCCATTCTCTGTGTCCAGACCCCTGCACACACCTGCCCTCTAGGGCTCTGCAACGATCATACACCCTTATCCCACCCCGTAGATACTTAAGAACTGCCTAGGGGAAACTGAGGCACCCCCACACTATTCAGAGGAAACAAGAACAGTCCCACTCCATCACAGGGGGCTCCAGCCAGGCAGCTGCTCCCTTGTCCCAGAGCCCCCCTCTGCCAGCAGGGGCCCAAATGGGGGTCAGCATGGGACATGGGGGGGGGGGGGAGTCACAACAGAACGGAAACTGGAGCCCCAGTGGGAGCAGAGGGCTCAGCCCAGCAAGGCGGGGGCCACATGGCAGCGTGTGACACAGGGACCTCCCCTCCCCCCACCAAGCTGTGGGGCCAGCCTCGCCAGCAGCATCCTGGCTATGGGGTGAGAGGGACACAGGCAGCCAGCGCCAGCCCTGGCCCCTCCCCCTCACCAGGCATTGCCAGGGCCCGGTGGGCCTGGGGGCAAAGTAAAGAGAGACAGAGCCCCTAAGGGTGAGGGGGCAGGTACCCCCATGCTGCAATGGCAGGGGACTGGGGCATGGGACCCCCCTTCCCCCAGGCCCAGGGGAGCAGCCCCCTTACCTGGCACACAGCCCATGGTCCAGCTGAGACAGAAGCCCAGGGTGCAGCGGCAGGAGAGGTGCCCAGCCCAGGACATGCAGGTGCTCCAAGGGGGGCAGGGCTGCCCCCTGCCACACTGGGCACATCTGGGGGAACAGCCCCCCCTCCCGAGTGAGAAAACCTGAGCTGAGACTCCGACCCGGGAGGAACCTGGACAGCAGGTACCCAGGGCAGGAGGAGTGACCCAGCACCGGCAGAGCAGGGTCTGCGGGTCGGGAGTGAGGGGCACCGGCAGAGCTGGTGGGGGGCAGGGCTGGGCTAGCGGGGGGCTGTGGCTCGGGAGTGAGGGGCACCGGCACAGCTGGTGGGGGGCAGGGCTGGGCTAGCGGGGGGCCGTGGCTCGGGAGTGAGGGGCACCGGCACAGCTGGTGGGGGGCAGGGCTGGGCTAGCGGGGGGCCGTGGCTCGGGAGTGAGGGGCACTGGCAGACCAGACCAGGGCAGGGGGTTGGAAGAGTGATTGAGGGGCCAGGGCTGAACTGGGCCCTGCAGCTGAGTTGGGCCATACCTGGTGCGGTGGCCCCCTCTGTGGGGGTGCCAGTCCCTGCTGGCATCTCAGCGCTTGTAGCCCAGGTGTGAGGGGTGGGGCCAGATGCTGCCAGCCAGGGGTGTGTGCTGGACCCTAGAATACAAGGGGGTTGGGCAGCCAGAGGGTCACCCCCATTGGAGCAATTGACTGGCGATGCCAGAGGGGCAGTCAGCTCTGCTCTGGCTCAGCTGGCCAGGTGCAAGTCCCTGGGCACGTCCCTGGCAGTGCCGGCCCCTGGGGCCTCATCTTCCCTGCTCACAGCTTTGACCGCCGTGGCTAACAGAGGAGCCCCCGGCGAACAGCTGCTCTTGAGTTCTGCCACCCGGGGGGCGCCGCACCTCCACATGGGGCCACCCCAGCGTGGTCATCACCCAGCAGACCTGGAGCCAGTCGGGGGGGGGCAGCACCCAGAGCCCCCCCTTTGCTACAGACAGCACCTCTGCTGGGGCGTCCCCTAGGCCAGGCCAGGAGGGGAAAGAGGAGGCACCTGCATCTCCCCCTTTGTTTGCTCCTAGCTGGGGCACGGGGGAGCCCGGCACATTGGCTGGGACCATGGGGAGGGGCAGCCGTGAACTCACCTACCCCCCCTAGCCTGCCTGGCACAGGGAGCCTGGAGCTGCAGCAGGAGCCCAAGGAGAAGGAGGCAGCCCCTCCCCATCCTGCCAGGCCTGGGCTGGGCTGGGCCCCAGCTGCTCTCAGCCTCCAAGGGGCAGGGGCTGGGCTCTCCCTGCGCTGGGTTAAGGGCGATCCAGGGGCTTGTTAATGATTCCTGGGTGGGGGCAGCTGTCAAGGGTCCAGGCAGGCACTGAGGAGCCCCTGTGCTGGGGTGGCTCTGACGTGCCCAGCTGCCACTCGTTACCCCAGGCAGGGCTGGTCCGGCCAAGGAGGACAAAGTCCGAAGCGCAGCAGGGAGGTGGGGCTGTTCCCAGGACTCTGGGCAGCTGGACCCACACCAGGGGCTGCTCGGAGCTGAGCAGCAACAGAACAGCCCCGCTCAGGCCAGGCTGTCGACAGAGGCTGCCCCAGGGCTGAGATCTGCCCCGCTGGGCTGGGCTGGATGTGGGAATTCTTTGTAATATTTTCATGAAGCCTGGTGTGCCTCAGTTTCCCCTACATGCTGCCTTGTTACCTGGGGGGTGGGAAAGGTCTGTCTGCTCTCTGGGCAGGCTAAGACACAGGTGCGAACGGCACCTACCTGCCTTGGGCCTTAGGCCCCTCATCGACGGAGCTGTTGAGAAGATCATGGCAAACTCAGTAGCTGGGACTTTCACATCCAGCAACCCTTGACCAGAGAGATCTGGACCCCCCGACCCCCTGCTCTGCATCTCCCCAGCTCGGGAACAAAGGACTGTGGGAGGCAGTCAGGGCTCACCTGGGAGTCTGACAAAAGACAGCAGATGGACGGACAGACAGACCCGTATAGTCTGAGGCCTTTCTCTGCAGCCACATTAGGACAGCAGCACCACGTGCTAAGAATCCTTTACATCCTCACGTGCCACCTAAATTGCATTAAACCCAGGTAATACTGGGCCGTTGAAAGCGATCCTGTCCTAACAGCACCCACCACCATCAGAGAAAGAAACAGCTTCACTGGTTACCGCGGACCTTGGTTGATTGAATCTGTCTGGCAAGAAATCACTTACCAACAGTCGTGGGTGTGAAATCTTGACTTCTATTGTTGTGTCTTTATGGTCCCCACTTCTCCATGGTTTATCTGTCTGGTCTCTGTCGGGTTCTTTGATTGTTTCTGTTACATCACTAATTTTGCTGGGTGTAAATCAATTAAGGTGGTGGGCTCTGATTGGTTAAAGAATTGTTTTACAATACGTTAGGATGGGTTAGAGAATTGTTTAGTAATAATTTAGTAAAATGATAGGTGAAGATACAGCTAAGCAGGACTCAAGTTGCACTATATAAACTGGGGTCCAAAGGGAAGTTCTTTGGGAACCGACTCCAGGACCCAGCCCCAAGATCAGAGCTGCCAGACCTCAACACCCTGCCAACCACACCGTACGGAAGCTGGAGTCCCCCAGATGATCTGATCCCGACTGGCCAGCAGGAAGATTGTCCGTCTTCTTGGGAGTGGGGAGCATTGTAGGCTTAGCATGTGCTTTCTGGTTTTGGTGATTGTTAATAGAGGCTCAAGATATTATTGTGTAAGGCTCTTTCACTGGGGAAAGGCCCTGCAGACCTTGGGAGGGCGTCATGGGGAGGTTGGAGCCTCAGCTGCTGAGGCTGCAGGACATGCAGGTGGGGCTGGGGTGACACCACTTCCTCCGGTGTCAGCCCTTCCCACCCAGCTTTGGCCAGGTCAGTTCCCCACTGGCAGGGCGGGGCCTCGGGGGAAGGGGCAGGGCAGGGCATTCGGAAGTCGGTCGCCCTCGCCAGGCTTCATGGGGACGGGACGGGCCACCAGGCCGATACCAGGACCTGCAGAGGGCAGGCAGGGCAGCTCCTGGCAATACAACAGGCAGGGGAAACCCACACCTGGCCGGGAACAGCGGCCAAGGCAGCACCATGGCCCCGGCTGCCCGGGTTCAGCGTGGGGTGGAACAACTCGTGCCCACCCCTTTGATCCTGGGAGGGCTCTCCCCCGCAGTGGAACGGCTACCGTGCACCCCCTTGCAGGGAGCCCGCCCCGCAGGCCTTTCTCCTCCCCACCCCCAGTATGTTTTGCCTTGGCTCCCACTCATGGGTTTCTTGCTTCTTGATTAACCCCACCTTCTACCGCCCCCTGTGCCAATGAGCTGCTGCCACCTCCCATTGGCACTCGCCCACCCGGGCATTCAGGAAGGGGCAAGCAGAGACCTCCAACCAGGAGGCACTGAGGCTCACCCTGTGTAGGAGGGGATCAGGGGCTGCCCAGCTGCCTTGAGTACTAGGGTTGCCAACTTTCTAATCACACAAAACCTAACACCTTTGCCCCACCCCCTGCCCCATCTCTGAGGCCCTACCCCCACTCACTCCATCCCCCCTCCATTGCTCACTCTCCCCCACCCTCACTCACTTTCACCGGGCTGGGGCAGGGGGTGGGGGTGAGGGCTCTGTGGTGGGGCTGGGGATGAGAGGATTGGGGTGTAGGAGGGGGCTCCGGGCTGGAGCCAAGGGATTCTGAGTGTGGGAGCAGGCTCAGGGCAGGGGGCTGAGGTGCAGGAAGGGTTGCGGGCTCCAGGAGGGAGTTTGGGTGCAGGAGGGGGCTCAGGGTGGGGTTGGGGTGTGGGAGGATGTGAAGGGTCCAGGAGGGAGTTTGGGTGTGGGAGGGAGCTCAGGCTGGGGCAGCAGCTGTAGATGGGGGTGTGGACTCCAGGATGGGGCTAGGAGTTGGGGTGTGGGCTCTGGGAGGGAGTTAGGGTGCAGGAGGGGGTTCAGAGTGTGGGCTCCAGCTGTGTGGTGCTTACCTCAGGCAGCTCCCAGTCAGCGGTGCAGTGGGGCTAAGGTAGGTTCCCTGCCTGCCCCGGCTCTGTGCAGCTCCTGGAAGCAGCCAACCAATGGGAGCTGCGGAGTTGGCGTTCGCGGTGGGGGCAGCGCGCAGAGCCTCCCTGGCTACCCCTGTGCCTAGGGGCCACAGGAACATGCTGGCCGCTTCTGGGAGCCACGCAGAGCCAGGGAAGGCAGGGAGCCTGCCTTAGCCCCACTTCGCCGCCAGCCGGACGTTTAACAGGCCAGTCAGCGGTGCTGACTGGAGCCGCCAGGGCTCCTTTTTGACCGGGCG